CATCACTATTGTTGATCCTTTCCAATAAACTTTACTATTTTGTCCATTAGCCAAATGAATGAATGTTTCATCAGGTATTCCAGATTGATTATTCTTAGGCACAGGGTTTTACCATTAAACTAATCAACCAACTTCATGCTAAAATAAAAATAAAAATTGCCAGATCTTATTTGACGAACCCTACCTGAAATATCAGCAAACATTAACAAAAAAATGTCAAACAAAGATTTAAAGTTCAGGCAGGAAGTTCATCATCGATACCTTGTAAAAATGTTATAAGTTTGCCAGTTCTGACTCCAGTCAATCAGTAAATGCAAGGTAAATAGCTAACTTGTACAAGCAGTGGTCACTTCCATACATGACATTTTTCCAGACATGAGATTTTCATTGACCCTGTAAGTTATAACCAGTAACTCCGACCCACATAATGAAAGCGTTCCCTTTGTGAGTCCAGGCATCCTGACTGAAAGGATGATGAATGAAGTGTTCTGCTCAGGTACCCCTCATTTCCTCCTTCACATCCCCATAGGTTCAGCCAAGCAAATCTTGAATGATTCTCATTTCTAGAAAACTGTCGCAATTCTTTCATTTTCTACAGCCCCAATTAGAAAGCCAGAAAATTCAATACCAGCCCCTGACATGACCTCAGACAAACCTCCGTTGCAACTCGGAACTTCATTTAGGACACAACCTGACAACCTTTGACAATCAAGCAATCATTGATCCTGACATGAGCATTTTTTACAACTGTCACCTTGGATCTAACCAAAAGCACATTAACACAGATTCCGATTCCAGTTTCAACCTCCAGGCACTCAGCAGCTCTGGAATATAACCAAATGATTTTGCTAAATGGAAATCAAGATATCTGTTCTGTGGAAAGGTCCTGAATTTTCATTTCTTTTCTCTTCTCGAGGTGATAGAACTGATTAAAGGGAATGATCACATATTGCGACTATGAGGCTCCAGTTTCAATTTGCCTCTGAAAGGTCAGATGAATCTCGATAAAAGAATCCACAACAAGCTGAACAAAAAACTACTAGCATGATGCCACAGAATTCTGTCGATTAAGAAAAACAAAAGGTCTTTGAAACAGAACAAATGTTCTTTTCAGTATATTAGGGTTTTTTTCTCTTGAAGGATGTGATCTTTGATGTCCATATCTGCCTGTTTCACACGAGCTACATGGACAGGGGTCTTGGGGGAATTGTTTGGAGATTAGTTTCTGTACAGAGAGAATTATCACAGCATGATATCCACAGGGAGAACTGGCGGCCTAGGGAACTGACAGAGAGGACTGTAGAAACGGTTGTAGAGAGGTTGAGTGGGTGGCCGTGTTGGAGCTGAGTGGATGGTTGAGTGGGTGGTTGAGTGGGTGGTTGAGTTGCTGGTTGAATAGGTGTTAGAGTGAGTGGTTGAGTTGGGGTTGATTGTGTTGTTAAGTAAGTAAAAGTTGAGTAAGTGACTCAAGGTGGATTGAGTGGCTGATTGGGTGGTTGAGTGGGTGGATGAGTGGAAGGTAGAGTGGGTGGATGAGAGAGTGGTTGAGTGGAAGGTAGAGTGGGTGGATGAGTGAGTGGTTGAGTGGATGATAGAGTGGGTGGATAAGTGAGTGGTTGAGTGGATGATAGAGTGGGTGGATAAGTGAGTGGTTGAGTGGATGATAGATCGGGTGGATGAGTGAGTGAGTGAGTGAGTGAGTAGTTGAATGAGTGTTTGAGTTGCTGGTTCAATAGGTGGCTGAGTGGTTGAGTGGATGGTAGAGTGGGTGGCTGAGTGGCTGAGTGGATGGTAGAGTGGGTGGCTGAGAGTGGTTGAGTGGATGATAGAGTGGGTGGATGAGTGAGTGAGTGAGTAGTTGAATGAGTGTTTGAGTTGCTGGTTCAATAGGTGTCTGAGTGGTTGAGTGGATGGTAGAGTGGGTGGCTGAGAGTGGTTGAGTGGATGATAGAGTGGGTGGATGAGTGAGTGAGTAGTTGAGTGAGTGGTTGAGTTGCTGGTTCAATAGGTGATGAAGTGAGTGGTTGAGTTGGGGTTGATTGTGTGGTTAAGTGAGTAGTTGAGTAAATGATTGACTCATCAACTCAAGAGAGGCTGATTGGGTGGTTGAGCTATGTCACTACTTTCCAAATGCCATACTTCAACACTGACTGAAGTAAGACATCAGATATGTCAAGTGAGGATTCAACAAGTATTATGAACAAGGTTTCTGTAGCAGGCAAACTGACAAGAACGAATAGTTTTGTTGAAAATTGTCAATAAAAACATCCTTGATACTCCTATTCTAAAATGAAGAGGAATGAATGTCTTAATATATGATGCCATATTTGTAAAAACGTACTACCTTTGCTCTCTTCGTTTATGTCCTTTAATTGATATAATACTCATCAACATTGCAAAGTTATCAATATTTCATTCTAATGTAGTTGCCAAAACATATACAAAGTCCAATGGGATTCTAACCCCTGACCTTCTGTTTCAAGGTCAGTCCTTGTCCACGTGACCAAAGAGGTTTACCCTGTCATGTCAGGGATGACTCTCCTGAGTCTCTGCCACAGAAACAACATAACAATGTTAAGCTCCAATCGGGGAATATTTAATGGCATTTGCTATTGAATGTCGGACACTGAGAATGTCCAGATGATCCCTGGATTGAACACTGTGCTGCAGCAGTGTTAGAAGGTTGATGTTTAGTACCCATGCAGTTTCTAAAGGACTGGGGGTACAGATGTTCAGTCCTCACTTGAAATCAAAAGATAAACAAACTGAACTAATCTTAATGAAAGTTAACTCAATAACCAAACCATTGCTTATCTAGGACATGAACAATTTGTATTTTTTTGTCACTAAATGTAATGACGTACATGAAACGTTACGTCTGCAGATCATATTCAGATCTAGACAGATTTTTTCTTTCTTCTGCTTGGAGAAATTCCTCAAGTGAACATGATAAGCACATCAAGAAAACATAACGATAAAGGCAATGTCCTTGTACTTCTGAGTGGGTTGCATTGCTAGCCAACTTGAACATCAGTCCTGTTATATCACAGTGCGTCAGTTTACTGTTGGAGGAAAGCCCAAGTGATGCAGATCTGAAACGTTTACCACATTGCTAAACCCATAGTTTGGTGCTGACAAATCTGGAAACATAATCAGGGTGAACTTAGGATCCTGGTTGCCCAGGGGAGGCAACTCTATCCAGATAATCGCTGCACCTTAGATATGGTTGGGCCAACTTTGCCTATAGAATATAGGTGTAATTGTTTTTAGTAATTTTCACTGAGCTGTATTTTTTGTGCTTTATGCTATCAAGAAGATGGATAGCAACAAAACACAATATCAACACATTGTGGCAAATAATTTAACATGATATCATCCATTGTTCACGATGTTACAAATGATGTCAATTGATGTCCAACAAATGATGTCAATTGATGTCCAACAAATAATGTCAAGTGATGTCCAACAAATAATGTCTCAGTGATGTCCAACAAATAATGTCAAGTGATGTCCAACAAATAATGTCTCAGTGATGTCCAACAAATAATGTCTAAGTGATGTCCAACAAATAATGTCTAAGTGATGTCCAACAAATAATGTCTAAGTGATGTCCAACAAATAATGTCTAAGTGATGTCCAAAAAATAATGTCTAAGTGATGTCCAACAAATAATGTCAAGTGATGTCCAACAAATAATGTCAAGTGATGTCCAACAAATAATGTCTAAGTGATGTCCAACAAATAATGTCAAGTGATGTCTAAGTGATGTCCAACAAATAATGTCAAGTGATGTCCAACAAATAATGTCTAAGTGATGTCCAACAAATAATGTCTAAGTGATGTCCAACAAATAATGTCAAGTGATGTCCAACAAATAATGTCTAAGTGATGTCCAACAAATAATGTCAAGTGATGTCCAACAAATAATGTCAAGTGATGTCCAACAAATGTCAAGTGATGTCCAACAAATAATGTCTCAGTGATGTCCAACAAATAATATCTAAGTGATGTCCAACAAATAATGTCAAGTGATGTCCAACAAATGATGTCAAGTGATGTCCAACAAATGATGTCAAGTGATGTCCAACAAATAATGTCAAGTGATGTCCAACAAATCATGTCAAGTGATGTCCAACAAATCGTGTCTAAGTGATGTCCAACAAATCGTGTCAAGTGATGTCCAACAAATAATGTCTAAGTGATGTCCAACAAATAATGTCTAAGTGATGTCCAACAAATGATGTCAAGTGATGTCCAACAAATGATGTCAAGTGATGTCCAACAAATGATAAAGGAAGCTGACGAAACTATTTGGGATCAAGAAATGTATATTTTTCTTCATTTTCACAATGGCTAACACAAGGAATAACCTTCTTGTAACTGAGCTCACGACTTACTTTAATAATTCACAAAGGCAAGATAATCTGTGATTACTACACAACAGAAAGAACTACATGGAACCACAGAAATCAGTTTGTTATCTACATTGTTCATTACATATACATTTTCTTTTGGAACTGTCTGCCATCTTGGAGAGGACATAACACAATACATGAAGCATTTGGTTTTGTGTTGTTTGTTCAATATTTATTTTACAGGCAAGATTTGTCAAATCACAGTTATGAATACCAGTACAGTTTAACAAGGTTTATTTGTCGTTGATTGTGTCGATGTGCTGCGAATATGTTGGTACATGGATATGTTACCCGAGTGTAGCCAACAGTTACGCGAGTGTAGCCAACAGTTACAGTTACGCGAGTGTAGCCAACAGTTACAGTTACGCGAGTGTAGCCAACAGTTACGCGTGTGTAGTCAACAGTTACAGTTACGCGAGTGTAGCCAACAGTTACGCGAGTGTAGCCAACAGTTACAGTTACGCGAGTGTAGCCAACAGTTACAGTTACGCGAGTGTAGCCAACAGTTACAGTTACGCGAGTGTAGCCAACAGTTACGCGTGTGTAGCCAACAGTTACAGTTACACGAGTGTAGCCAACAGTTACATGAGTGTAGCCAACAGTTACACGAGTGTAGACAACAGTTACAGTTATGAGAGTGTAGCCAGCAGTTACAGTTACGAGAGTGTAGCCAGCAGCCACAGTTACAGCCACGTGAGTGTAGCCAACAGTTACGAGAGTGTAGCCAGTGTAGCCAACAGTGTAGCCAGCAGTTACAGTTACGCGAGTGTAGCCAACAGTTACACGAGTGTAGCCAACAGTTACGCGTGTGTAGCCAACAGTTACGTGAGTGTAGCCAACAGTTACGCGAGTGTAGCCAACAGTTACGTGAGTGTAGTCAACAGTTACGCATCTGTAGCCAACAGTTACGTGTGTGCAGCCAACAGTTACAGTGTAGACAACAGTTACGCGTGTGTAGCCAACAGTTACGTGAGTGTAGTCAACAGTTACGCATGTGTAGCTAACAGTTACGTGTGTGCAGCCAACAGTTACGCGAGTGTAGCCAACAGTTACGCATGTGTAGCCAACAGTTACGTGTGTGTAGCCAACAGTTACACGAGTGTAGCCAACAGTTACGCGAGTGTAGCCAACAGTTACGCGAGTGTAGCCAACAGTTACAGTTACGCGAGTGTAGCCAACAGTTACGTGAGTGTAGCCAACAGTTACAGTTACGCGAGTGTAGCCAACAGTTACAGTTACGCGAGTGTAGCCAACAGTTATGCGTGTGTAGCCAACAGTTACAGTTACGCGAGTGTAGCCAACAGTTACATGAGTGTAGCCAACAGTTACGCGAGTGTAGCCAACAGTTACAGTTACGAGAGTGTAGCCAGCAGTTACAGTTACAGCGAGTGTAGCCAACAGTTACGTGAGTGTAGCCAACAGTTACGCGAGTGTAGCCAGCAGTTACAGTTAGCCAACAGTTACAGCGAGTGTAGCCAACAGTGTAGCCAACAGTGTAGCCAGCAGACGAGTGTAGCCAAGCAGTTGTGGTGTAGCCAACAGTTACGTGTGTGTAGCCAAGCCAACGCATGTGTAGCCAACAGTTTGCGTGTAGGTGTAGTCAACAGTTACGCGTGTGTGTAGCCAACAAGTGTAGCCAAGCAGTTACGCATGTAGCCAACAGTTGCGTGTGTGCAGCCAACAGTTTACGAGTGTAGCCAACAGTTTGCGTGTGTAGCCAACAGTTACGTAGCCAACAGTGTACAGTTCGCATGGTAGCCAACAGTTACGCGTGTGTAGCCAACAGTTAGTAGCCGCAGTGTGCAGCCAACAGTTACGCAGTGTAGCCAACAGTTACGCGTGTAGCCAACAGTTACGTGTGTAGCCAACAGTTACGCGAGTGTAGCCAACAGTTACGCATGTGTAGCCAACAGTTACGTGTGTGTAGCCAACAGTTACGCGAGTGTAGCCAACAGTTACGCATGTGTAGCCAACAGTTACGCGAGTGTAGCCAACAGTTACGTGCGTGTAGCCAACAGTTTTACGTGAGAGTTTTCAGTTCATTTGACACATTACTAGTTAGTGGTATTTGGGCTAGACAAGGACCCAGTTTCACTTCGATCTCGCCGTTGGTTCGCAGTATAGTACATTTTATCTGACAACATGTAGGAGGGATATCGGACAGAAGTTCCTAGTCCCAGGATGACCTTTCAACTCAAACTTTCCAGGTTGACTTTCTCCAAGGATTACCTACTCAAACAACTAAAGATGACCTTCTACTCAAACATCCAAGAATGACCTTCAGATTCAGGCAATTGTGTTCCCAGTGATCAAACCTTTTCCACAGTAATGCAATTACTGAATTATGTTACTCTCCAGCACATACATAGGTCATATAAGCATTTCCTCACTAATCATTCAGGATGGTTTCCAGATAAGCTGGGTCCTGACTCACAAAGTTTCATTTTACACGTACATTCCACACATCTGAAATGAGTGTTAGACCACAGAGGCAAGGGTTCCATTAGGGCTGCTATCAGTTGACCATGGACAGTCTGGTCTTTGCTGCAGCATCTGACCCCAGGCTGGACACAGACTGGGGATCACCATCCAAAGGTGGAAGAACAAACTGGTACTTACCTGGAAAAAAAGGACAGTGATCAAAATGATGCATAATTCATGAGGTTACTATGTCTAGCTCATAAATATAGGAAAACCTTCCTAAACAAATAAGATAATGAATGTGAATATAGACAACCTTCCTGACACTACAGTAAGGTAAAATCCTGTGACACTATATAATTGGCACATCAAAAGTACTACAGGAGCGCTTGAAATCATTTGGTTCGAGTACCCTGAAACCTGTTTAGGTAGGGTCATATGTGATCACAGAATTGCAAGGTACAGAAGTTCACCTATATTGTGCATGAATTTGTGTCACACAATGTACAACAGTATTTAGTTTTGAACTAAGGTGCCAAACATGTAAATACACTACCTTCTACAAAAGTCCAAGGTTACATATCTCAAACATAAGAGGATCATGTCAGCCTGATTCAATAATGCTTTATCCCCATTGTGTCACATGAGTCTGATTCAGTACTGCTTTATTCCCATTGTGTCATGTCAGCCTGATTCAGTAATGCTTTATTCTCATTGTGTCACATGTCTGATTCAGTAATGCTTTATTCCCATTGTGTCATGTCTGATTCAGTAATGCTTTATTCCCATTGTGTCATGTCAGCCTGCTTCAGTCATGCTTTATTCTCATTGTGTCACATGTCTGATTTAGTAATGCTTTATTCCCATTTTGTCATGTCAGCCTGATTCAGTAATGCTTTATTCCCATTGTGTCATGTCAGCCTGGTTCAGTAATGCTTTATTCTCATTATGTCACATGTCTGATTCAGTAATGCTTTATTCTCATTGTGTTATGTCAGCCTGATTCAGTAATGCTTTATTCCCATTGCGTCACATAAATACTCTAAATGCCAAAGAATTCATTGATTCATTATTACACATTTCGGGGGCCGTCAGACAGAAGCTAGACATATTTCCGATGCATTCAGTGAGTTCCTGTTTTTTATTCCAGTGCACAAATATAATGCTGTTATTCACCACTCTTCAGCCAAACAAACCACTGTGTGAGGGACAACTCCTTATCATTACAACACAGGGTATGTTTTCCTATCTTTATTGACAGAGGGATACTGCTAAGCATAACAATCCTCCTCTGTGGAGTTTGTGTTAAATTAGGCACATTCTATCTTGTGGATTCTGTGCTTGATATTCATACAAGGAAAAGGCCGAGCTGAAATCTCCAAAGGAAATTGACGCTTTGAATCCATGCCTTCTATTTAAGTAAAACATTCCTTTATTGCAACATGCCCTGAGGTAAATATTATGTCATGGATTTCATACATTAAACAAACAAGAAAAATCGCAGGGAAAGAAACCTTTCAAAATTTCTCACTAGACCACAGGACCAGTGAGTGGACAATAATTAGTGGTCCTGTCTGTACTTCACTGGTCTTAAATAACATTCCTAGAGTTACTTAACTATCAATACAAAATTCACTGGTCACCAGGACCACTGCAAACTTGTCATTTAGTGGTCCTGATGAATTTTTACTAGCCAGGGACCACAGGACCAGCGTAAACTTTGCACACTGAAAATAGTGTACACTTCATCAGTTTACATACGGCATATTGATTGATTGAGTGAGTGAGTGAGTTGGGTTTGACTCCACTTTTCACAGTATTCCATTTATGCCACAGAGTTAGCTTAATGTGGGATTAAGCCAGGAGTGAGTCTGATTTCAGATATCTACCTCTTGGATGAATTCAATGATAGAACTACAAATATTTTCAGGAAGAATCAGGATTCAAACCCAAATTTCAAAGGACACAACCCTGCACACTGAACTGTGACAACTGGCCCACTATCCCTACCCCTCAATGTGACATAACATTCATGATCATTTATACACATACAGCTCATGGTGAGATACATCTGCTTGTGTATAGCTTCTGTATTTATACCTTCACATCAACATATCGTATCAAGTAAGACAAATTCATCTTTCAACACCAGTGCCGGGATAAACATATTCATCAACATTATGGCCATTTTTATTTAACAATTAGCTTTTTATCTAATACGAACAAATATTAGGCATTGAAATACAATTAAATGTCAGGAGTGTATTGAAATAGTTAATTATTAATCTTAACTGGTATTTTTAAAAAGGTAAACACCAATCTCAATTCAGAATAGACTATATCCGACAAATCCAGCACCAACTGTATGTTATCGTGTTGTAGAGGTCATGGTTTGAATCATTTACAGAATTAATCCTGTTTCTGTCTGGTTCGGTTAATAACGGTGTCAGTTTCCATGGCTCCACTCGGCTACCAAATTACCAGCCTATTTCCACACCATCCTCTAAAACTTCATCATCAATGTCACAATCATAATGATTTCTTAATTTCATTGAACAAACTCTGTAAGGTTAGAACATTTCAAACCAGTTACGCACACATTGTAATAACCCCTGTCCCCACGGAGGAAACAGTAATTATTTCTGCAACTATTTCTCACCTTCAGGTTAAGATATGGGTCTCCAATGACGGAATCCTACAGAATTGAAGATTAGCTTCAATAATAACCTAATTCATTGCCGACAATTACTTGAAATATATTTCTAATTTTGGACGAAATATCCTTGCAAGTTGACCATTTATTCAGGTTACAGAGTGTCTGGCTAGTGTGTATGTTGTAGAAACGGTAGTGTTGCTAGATTCATTTGACAAATGAATGAGATGAGAGGATTTCTGACAGATTATCTTGTTGTTCAACTCCAATCTGATTGTGCATCATTTCCTAACATTTAAGCCGTCTTTACAATTCTTCAATCTAAGTAAATACAGCCAGAATGATGAAGAGAAATGCCTGCACCAAAGGCACCACTCATGAGTATTACAAATGTTCAAGGTTGCCAGGCATACGAAGAAAGCCAGCAAAGTAACCCGATTTTTATTTCAAAGCATTCTTAATTCTGATTGGCTGATAGCTAAACCAGTAATCAACGACTACTTTTTCGAAGCATGCTTCAAGACTATATCAGACTGCTGCATCTTGGGAATGATCTCATTTTCAACCAGGTCTCCTGTCAATTATTTATCAAGTTCCAACTTTCTTTGTCTTAGTCATCAGTATTTTGAACACTTAAATAACATTCTACTTCTGTTGTATAAGTGAAGCTATAGTCCGGGAAACATCTGATATATATTTGAATGTTGGGGATTACAGTAAAACTAAATTAAGTCACATACATCAGACATTCTGATGTTGGCCAAACAGCATAAAATAATTTTATAACCAAATTAGTTATTTTCTCCTTTATATTTACCAATTTTTGCATAAAAGAATTGATTATGTTATTGATGAACAGAATGTATTTGATCAAGAGGATAAATTTGTACATAAATGGCAAAATGTTTCAATATGATAAAGGATACTGGTATCTGGTAAAGGATGTAGTGGCATGATAAAGTATACTGTTGTATGATACAGAATGATGTGAATGATAAAGGAATATGTTGCATGATAAAGGATGATGTGAATGATAAAGTATACTACTGTATGATATAGAATGGTGTGAATGATCAAGTATACTGTTGTGGGATAAAGGATGTTGTAGCATGATAAAGTATACTGTTGTATGATATAGAATGATGTGAATGATAAAGTATACTGTTGTGGGATAAAGGATGTTGTAGCATGATAAAGTATACTGTTGTATGATATAGAATGATGTGAATGATAAAGTATACTGTTGTGGGATAAAGGATGTTGTAGCATGATAAAGTATACTATTATATGATGTAGAATGATGTAAATGATAAAGTATACTGTTGTAGGAT